GCCCTGAATACTTGAAGTTAAAAATTAAAGTATCACATGATGCCCTAGATGTAATTGTTAAACTGTTTTATTTTGAATTATTTGTATGTATTGATAACCCTTGCAATAACTGGATAACTCTGTAAAGTAAGCTTGGCTTAGACCTACACTTATCAATCGCTATCTATGGTATTCAACAACATATTAATTTGAAATAACTGTAAATGCTCAAAAGCTCTGCACCAAACTGAATTTTTTTCGTTAAGCACTGCTCTCAAATAAGCACTGCAGCGCTCAATCGAGAATATATTATTACCCAGTGTGTAATGAAACACTTTGAGAAACAGGTTTTTTAATAAATGTATACAGTGTTAAAATGAATAAATAGCACAGTGAAGACACAAGCATTTCTTTATAACATTTATTTACATTGATGTAGGACCTGTGATTGGCCTACCAAACTATGGGAATACATGAGATAGGTAACATGGAAACGGATATAGAAAGTACCACGCTAATATTTTTTTTACTGCTCTCTATAAGCGCCGCACCGAAGGCTCCAAAAATTTTATAAGCGCTTATTCGAGCATTTTACTGTATTGTATTGTAGACAATACAAAACAATTAAAATATTGCAAAACAAAGCCACAAGAAGAAAAGTTCACTGGTTCTCCTTGACTTACTTTTGATGACAACAGAATAAGAGACTGATGTTTTTCTGTTAATAATAAAATGATACAGGACTGACTCTCTCTAATTAAAGATCCCTCTAATTTAAGACACCATTTAATTAAAGACCACTTTTAGTTTTCTGTGGTCACAAATTAACAAATTATATCTTTTATCTTTATTATTTTTATATGAAGACGAAAGCTGCTAAAGACTGGAGAATCCCCAGTTTTAAAGTGCTCTTTAATTGGAGGGAGATCTGTATATAAAAAAATAAAGGAACTTAGCACAGTCTAGCTAAATTGCATGACTGCTGGACTGTGGTCTTTGGTCCTCGTTTCAATTCTATCCCTTGATCTCTGTGTTTTGGCTGGTGGGTTAAAATGTTTGAGTCATTGGTTCCATGTGCAGTAAAATGTCCATGTGCATGATAAAGAATGAATGTACATAAGCAAGGCACACAATACATCATACAACGGTTGTGCGAACTTCGGCCAAGGAACTCTGTTTTTTGTGAGCGTTAGACTTTGCGACACCATCTGTTGATTGTTAAAAATCATCTGTTAATAATCATGGCTTTGTTTTCTCCATACAATCGCATCAGCCATCAACCCGTAGGCGTGTGACAGTGTGAGTGCTCTGCTTAAGACTCATTATACGGCTTTTGGAGTTGCGTTGTTTTGGTCATAAGTAAAGCGTCTTAAACACCAGCAAAAGCCCATCTATAGGTCAATGAATCTTTGCACTAAGCCCCATCCCTTGGATGTTGTTGGTAAGGTCCCTCAAGATGACAGTGTTAAAACATACGCAAACATGTGTGCTTGTTGGATACGTGCGTATTCCTGGCACTGTTCTGATTGGTCGGTTGTTAAGTTTGATTAACACTTCGTAATTAATATAATGACTGTTTGATGGTTAATGCTATTTTGATTGAGAATATTATTATAGTATTTTCTAATTTTTATTTCACAGATCGATGAAAATGCAACCAAAAATTTCCTGGGCTTCGTGGTGGCTTCATTCAGCCTGGGGCAACTCGTGTCCTCTCCGATCTGCGGTGTCTGGGGCAACCTGAGAGGCGCGCGAGAACCAGTGGCTTTTTCATTGATCCTAAGCATAGGCTCCAACTGCCTGTATGCCTTCCTAATGGCGATCAAGTCTCACAATGCAACATACATGCTAATTGCTAGACTTCTGCTTGGCTTCAGTGCAGGTGAACACTTTGATATATTATGATGTTTTATGCCCATATTTGGGCATGATGATGTGATAGCATAACCATATACAGTAACATCTCCCAATTATGTACCCGTCTGTACGAACAGGATTTGTAAATGAGAAAATTCGTAATTCAGAGAGTTTGAATTTTCAGCATCTCAGGTGGTGAAGGGGTAGGCCTAGACCATGCTACAAAGTACAGGGATAGGTAGGCCTAAAGGCCATTTTCCAATAGAAAAAAAGTGTTTTTGTAATTAAAAACGATTGTTCGTAATAACGTCATCGTCGCAAATTTTGTTCATAAAATCAAGAGTTCGTAAATGGAAGGTTCGTAATTAGGGGACTTTACTGTATGGGCAAATCACACTTATTAGACAAAACAAAAAACAAATCACAAAATATTGTCTTTCTTAAAGATGTTTTACATTCAGAAATCTGGTTTTGTCAGGAATACATTTTTTTGTATTGTTATTCATCAGGTAATACGGCTGTAGCTAGGTCGTATGTGTCAACTGCTACAAGTCTTCAGGAAAGGACCGGTGCAATGGCCGCGATCAGTGGCTTTCAAGCAGTTGGCTTTATCTTCGGACCTGGTAAATATGAGGGCGCTATCAGACTATCTTTAAGATTTATTATATACTTTTCATCTTGGTCAAAATTAATCCAATGGAACACAGCTTTAGTATAATGAAGAAAACATAAACTTAAGGAGTTCTTAAGTAATAAAGTATAAATTCAACAAGAGAGCTGACTACACTCATTGAGAGCATAAAAAAACGATACACCATACGCAGCCAGTGTAGGATGCCCGCTACTAATGTATTTCCCAGTAATGCCCAGCGCATGGTTTGTGTATTTGTACTTCTGTTCTCCACATAATAAAATACATTCGTAGAGGGTGGTAGATTTCCTTATTTCTCTTTATCACCATATCATCGAAGCGGGCACACTTCTTGTGAACTCATGCATATTTGGCCCGCTCCGTAAAGAGGATGCCCATTTCCATTGCAACTAGGGGAGTGATGTATTTACATATAGGAGTATGTTCTCTTGTTCTATTTATATTCTTTGGTAATAGTTATCGGAAAGTCATAATTATTCAGCTTTTAAAGTGTAGAAACAGGAAACAATCAAGTTTTTCTTAAAGTATCAATACCTAAAAATATGCACTTTGGGGTTCTACTATTTAAAAATTGTTTTGTAAGCTGTTTAAATAAGGCCAAGTAAAAAATTATTATTTATTGTGTTATTATGTTGGCCATGTGTACAAAATGTACAAAATTGAGGTTTGCCATTTTAAAAACACATTTTTTTTTTGCCTAATGGCTTTAATAGATTGAGGAAAGATGCTAATTGGTGTCTCGAAACTTAACTTTTTATTGGATGTGGATGAACGTAAGATCACTTTCTTTTTTTTTTTAGTGTTTCAGGCTGCATTTGTACCGATTGGAGAAAACGGTGTTTCGTCTGGCCCACTGCATTTGAACATGTACACCGTTCCAGCTTTTGTGAACGCAATTATGACAGCTGTAAATTTGTTGTTAATCATCCTTGCATTCAAGGAGTACGATATACCAGATATAATCACAGATCCAGCAAAACCAAGTACGTATCATTTAACTTTCTGGAAGCAGCTGTTAACTGATTTGATTTTTTTTTTCAGACCTACAGTAATTGTGTGTTCAGTGTTATATGTTTTATGTTTATTCAATAATTAAAATGAAGATTATAATATGATTTAATTTCATCAGGTTGGAGTATTTGTATCGCAAACCAAGGTCATTGTAAACGTACCAAAACTTTGACATTTTGAATTATATATTTTATCATTATTATTGTTCTTTTGTTATTGTTGTTGTTACTGTTGTTGTTATGTTATATTGTTCTTGTTTTATCTTACTTGATAATACTTTACTTGTATTAGAGAAACTAAATTTTTTTTAATCACAGACGTAGATCATAATGTGAATGAGTTAGATGACATTGGAAGCTTAAGTAAAGGTAGAGTCCATGAGTCATAGGTCATCAAAGCTATCCTCAATCACTTCAGTACCAGGTTATTCCATAGAGCAAAGAAACTGATTCTTTGTTCTATGGTTATTCCAATTTCAATGGACCATTCGGCTAAGCCCTGCCGCTTGGATATAAACATAAACACATTCTGATTGGTCAGTTATAATCATAAGCATATTCTTATTGGTCAGTTATAAACAAACACATTCTGATTGGTCAGTTATAAACATAAACATATTCTAATTGGTCAGTTATAAACATAAACACATCCTGATTGGTCAGCTATGCTTGATTTGACACTTCGGAAAGGTCCATTGCAGAATTGACATGTTTTTCAATTCATGCATTTGCTCATCACCTTTTTAATAATTTGATAAATTATTAATAATAATCACTTTATTATTAAAGTCATTGACACATTTCATTCATTCATTCAATTATCAGCTGATATTCTCACTCAGAATCCACAGCTTTATGATGTACTCGAAAATAATGCAACAGGTAAGTCAGCCGCTTTGTTGGTTTGGTGGTTAGGGCGCCAACCCTGAAAACTTAGTGTTCTGTGTTCAGTCTTGGCAAAATGATTCAGCATTTTCTTAAGACCCACAGCAACTAAGAATATTTGCTAATCCATCATGTAAATAACCCCACTTTGGTCAAACCATCATTTCGTACTTGATATCAGCTCAACCCGTTTCCTCATGACACCTCACAAATTTGTTTTAAGCCGATTTCAATCTTTTGGGCTTTCTTGTTAAAGTACCACTTTTGTAAATTAATATATAATTACTTATTTTTGCTTGATCAGAAAAATGGAATATATATTGCAGAACAAAGAAAATAATTGTAGTTTTTAAATGATTTATTTTTTAAGAAATACAGTAGTAACATAATGTGTATGAGTGCCATTAACATAAATGAGTTTCAAATGCTCTAAAATCCATGTTGATGTGATAAATTAGCATCCTCAGTGTTTTCTGTATGTATCCATTTCCCATAATACATTGTTTTGATATGTGTTTTGTTATGAATCACTCATTAGCTAATAACGGAACTATCAATGGAAACTACAATCAGCTACCACCTTATGAGGACCTGGAATCCTCTCAACACGGTAAGGTGCCAGACCATTCTACCAATTTTTCCAATTAGGTAAACAACAACATTGCTATAGTCATCACAACCGCTTTTGTGTTCAACATTTTGGCAATTACTTTTTGTGTTCATATAACATAGGCATGTGTTCTTTTCGAGAACACAGCCTTTTTTTTTTCGGTTTTTTAATCACTGTCAGTAATAAGCATGTGTTCTTTTCAAGAACGTAGCCTATTTTCAGGTTTTTAATTACTGTCGGTAATACACATAAGGTAAATGAAACAGTAAGCCCTGTAGTATGTATGAAGTTTTATAGGCTTTAGTGCGGTACTTATTTGGGCAATTTAAAATATAAGGGCATGCTGGGTAATATGTACTCTAGATTAAACATCACAACGCAATTATTTTGAGTGCCGCTTAGCCGAAAAAATCATGTTTCATGCTACAACTAAACAAGGGGTTACGTTTATTCAAGAGAGGTACAGGTTTGATTACGAAATCCTTACATGGTGTACTAGAATACTCGCAGCAGCACACTCAGTTACACCCTGTAACATGTTTTAGTGTGTAACATGTTACACCTTGTATACATGTTACAGGATATAACATGTTACACCCTGTATCATGATACACCATGTACAGTAACATCCTGTAATGTGTTACTCCCTGTAACCAAGGACTTTTAACTGTTACCAAGATAGGAAGCTGGCTGGATGTTCATTGTAATACTACAAAACAAAATCATATCAATTTAAAATCAAATTTGTGAACATACTTGCCTTATATCTTAACTAGCCTGTGATTTTATTGATAGATTAGTTTGCTTTTAAGTGTGTAAGTATGATTGATTTGCGTGCCAAGTGAAATTAGTACCCTTATTTTGCTTTGTTTTACCGTACCGTAATTCTCGGCTAGGCGTGACTGTACGCCTTGCCGAACGCAGTGTGGCTAAAATGTTTTGTTTTTCTGAGCATTGTGCTTATCTGGCTCATTAGCATAACAATACCACACATAAGGCTAATTAAAGTTAGACAGCTTAAACCAGCCAGCATCCTATCCTGGTGACAGTTAAAAGTCTTGCTGTTACATGTTAAACCATGTAACTTGTTACACCCTGTAACATGTTAAACCTTGTAACATTTTAAACCCTGTAACATGTTAGACCCTGTACCATGTTAGACCCTGTACCATGTTAGATCCTGTACCATGTTACACCTTTTTACATGCTACATCCTGTAACATATTACACCCTGTAACATGCCGAGTGTACTCATAGGTAGTAGGATATAACAAATGAAGGATTTTATATTTCAGGTGCGATAGTTAACGAGAGCATTTCAATAAGTGTTGATATCTTTATGGTCTTCATCATCAACATCATCTACTTCGTTGTTCTCTTTGTGTTCTCAATCTATGAAACGTAAGTATCAAAATGTGAATATTAATCAATCAACAAGGATTTGTATAGCGCCGATATCCACGGCAGAATGCAATCTTGGTGCCATGACAATGAATAGTATTCAGTATATTTATTGTCATTTGTAAAAAACATTTTACATAGAAATATAATTTGCAAATGCCCGCTTATAAATAACAGAAATAATAAATAGGTAAAAATTTGGATTTTGGATATTCTTAATGGTAAACCAACTTTTGCTAATAATGAGAGTGAAATATGTATACTCGTTTATAAGACAAGGCTTAAAATAGCTAATTACGATCGCAAAACTGTTGGTCGTCTTTATACTCACGACATGCAAAATTTTATTTTTTAAAATCATGTTAGTTTTATGTGTGGATGGTCTGTAACTCGCAAATTTACTATTCCAGTGAAGCTACTAAATGTTGGTATGAATGAGCGCAATTTTAAATACAAGGAAATAAGATTCTGATGAAAATTTAAAAACTCATAAAATGGCCATTACAGGTATTTGGAAGATTAGCCTCGAATTTAGATCCGTTTTTAGCATGCTAGAAGCAGTATCAGGACCATAAAAAGCAGAAAAAAGTAGAAATTCCGACTATGAAACAGGGGGGTCGTCTTTTACGCTTGACATACAACAATATTCCAAAATTTGAGTGTCGTCTCATACATGGGTCGCCTTATACGCAAGTATAGATAAATTAACTTTAAAAGAAATGAATAATCTAAACTTGTGTTTTCTGAACTACATTCTATGAATGGTGAGTCACTCACATTTGGAGGGAAGTAAACAAAGAATTTAAAACATGAGATCTAAAATTGATATGTTTGTTTTTTTTATTTTTTATGTAGAATTGGTACTCCGATGACTATGGACATGTATGCTTGGAGTCGGCCGAAAGCAGTTTTGTATAATGGGATTATTGGAGCAGTTAGCGCTTTTATCTCCGTAACCGTATTTGCTTTAGTAAAGCCAGTTAGTAAAAGGTGAATGAACATTATAGTATTTATTTATATTATCATTTATTATTATATATAT